AGGAGGAGGAGGAGGAGGAGGAGGAGAAGGAACATTGGCTAAGCCTGATGGATATTTTAATCCAGCACATCTGGAAGGCATTCACTTGGGGGAAAGTTTTCAAATCATTCTTATAAATTTGAGTGGATGACTTGTAGTTTTCCCCCAGCTGCAGAAAACACACATCTGGATCCCATCCTACTTCTTATATTGAACTGTCCCCATCGTTCAGCAATCCCGTCATCGTATTGTATCAATCAGCAATCCCGTATAATAAACCCTATAAACACCCACTGTTTGGGAATTAAAATCCAAACTATTTTCATGGCCATACAAAAACCGTTAACCTCTAGCAAAAGTTAAGATTGAATAAACATCTAGTTTTCAGGCAATTTCTCCAAAATGACCAGTGGATTAAGTTGCAAGTTATCAACATACTTCCTACTTACTGCTTTTAGAACAGACATCATGTCTCCTTTGCGTATGTATTCAATCACAAGGGAGTGGTTTCCATCCTCCAGGATCACACCTAGTAGTTTTACCACCCGATCATGATTTAGTCTGTGCATCATCTCGCCTTCCTCTAGAAGGGACTTGTTACATCTGGAAAATAATTACTGCAGACGTTATCAAGAGAACTGGAGATCTAACATTCTATGCTTGAGTTGTGATTTTTAGACTTTTAAGCTTAGAATAGGCAACCTGGTGTTTTCTAGATAGATTAGCTTCTCCTTGAAACCGGCACAATGAGTACCAAGACATCAAGAGCATTCAAATCTAGAATATCTGGAGGCCATCAGGATGCCTAACTTTCTTTTAGTTTTATTCATCTGAAGTTGCTGAAATGAGGGATTGAATTGCAATGACAACAGGCACAGTTAAACACAAGCCACAATCCCCAGTGCCACCAAGTCTGTTGCACTACAAGTCTCCCAAACCTTAATCAACTGTGATGTTTGAGATGAGCACATCTGCAGTGTACCACACTGCAGAAAACTGGTGTAACGAAACTGCAAAATGCAGGTGAATGAATGAGAAATGGTCGTATAACAATAGCAATAGCAGTTAGACTTGTATACCGCTTCATAGGGCTTTCAGCCCTCTCTAAGCGGTTTACAGAGTCAGCATATTGCCCCCCAACAACAATCCGGGTCCTCATTTTACCCCCCTCGGAAGGATGGAAAGCTGAGTCAACCCTGAGCCGGTGAGATTTGAACAGCATTATAGGCTTGGAAGGGGCTCTGGAGGTCTTCTAGNGGGAGTTGGAATCTTAAAATTTGAGATTGAGAAATACTGGATTGAATGATGATCCTCATGGGGTGGGTAGATAAAATCCATATTCCTCCTAATTCTATGGAAATAGAAAATGATTTTTAAAGATTTATCAGAAAACACAGTTCCAAAAAGTATTTGGTGTTGGAGAAGACTAAGCTAAAGACTTATCAAAGTCACTGCATAATTATTAAAATGCAGAAAATAAGCAAGGAATGGGGCAAATTGCCCTTCATGAGCTAGCATCCTGTCACTTGTCACCCCCATATATGTCTTCTCTTTGTTTTGATTAAATTGAAAAGATAAGGACAGAACAATTCCAGCATATGAAATTTAATGGTTTTGGCAGGAGTCTTTATTCGAAATGATGACGATTTGACCTCAAGAGTCATTTGTGCAGGAACATGGACTGCACTGGGTCTGACTGCCAAATCGTATCATGAATTATTCCTTTTCTTTTCTAGGGCCACAGGATATGCTGGAAGTTAACTTGCAAAGGTTTCCCCCCTCCCCCCTTTCTTGTTAGGTTGTCAAATGCCACTGTGAATGGAATGATATCTATTTTTGAGAGCCATGGGAAAAAGGGACTAAAGGTTTTAATCCAAACCACTTCAGTTGCTAAATTTGTCCACTTTTTGCAGATTTTCTGGAGCGTGGTTAACATGGACCTGTTCAAACACCACAAATGCAAGTCTCCCTCTTTAATTTTAAAGAGGATTCCCTTTTCTGCTTCCAAGTCTCAGGAGCTTATTTTCACACACACACATCTCCTTCTCTC